CTAGCTTCTCATTAAACAGTTAGTACACGTTTTATGACATTGGTTACCAACCCCACAACATGTCAACACTCTCCCCTTCTCGACCTTAGGTTCCCCATTAACCAGCTTTCCTGTCCCCTCCTGCCTTTTTGTCCTTGCCTCTGGGCTGGTATGCCCCTTTAGTCTCATTTTGTTTTATTGGCCTGTCTAATCTTTGACTGAAGGGTGAACCTCAGGAGTGACTTCATTACTGAGCTAAAAAGGTGTCCGGGGGCCATACTCATGGGTTTCTCCAGTCTCTGTCAGGCCAGTAAGTCTGGTCTTTTTTTGTGAGTTAGAATTTTAATCTGTATTTTTCTCCCGCTCTGTGTGGGACCCTCTGTTGTGATCCCTGTCAGAGCAGTCGGTGGTAGCCAGGTACCATCTACTTGTGCTGGACTTGGTCTGGCGGAGGCTGTGGTAGTTGTGGTCCATTAGTTCTTTGGACTAATCTTTCCCTTGTGTCTTTGGTTTTCTTCATTCTCCCTTGCTCCAGACTGGGTGAGACCAGTGTAGTATCTTAGAAGGCCACTCACAAGCTTTTAAGACCCCAGGCGCTACTCACCAAAGTAGAACGTAGAACATTTTCTTTATAAATTATGTCAGTTGAACTAGATGTTCCCCGAGACCATGGTCCCCACAGCCCTCAGCCCAGTAATTTGGTCCCTTGGGGAGTTTGGATGTGTCTGTGGAGCTTTCATGACCTTACCTTGGAGATAAGTTTCATTTTTATCTCACCTCCTCCCTCGGCGGAAGGCAGTGGTGGTTCAGTAATAGAATTCTCATCTTCCATGTGGGAGACCAGGATTCAGTTCCCAGCCAGTGCACCTCAAGTACAGCCACCACTTGTCTGTCAGTGGAGGCTTGCTGTGGTGCTAAACAGGTTTCATCCAAGCTTCCAGACTAAGACTAGGAAGATACGCCTGGTGATCTGCTTCTGATATCAGCCAGTGAAAACCCTGTGGATCACAATGGTCTGATCCCGTTGTTTGTGGGGTTGCCATGAGTTGGGGGCTGACTAGACAATAGCAACAACTACCTTCCTACCTTTTAGGTCTCTTTCACTAAAGTAGTTTCAAGGAAGGTATGTAGTTCAATATAATCCAGTGGATTCCTTTTGACACATAGTAAACTTAACCCCCCCAAAAAAACTCACACCAAAAAACCACAGTAATTGATTTAAATGAATTGTTTTACTGAATTTGATTTAATTTCATAGGAAGTATGAATAAGGACTCACAGGATACAAAAAAAAAAGAATGGTCAAATATGACTTAGTGTGTATAATAGTCTAAAAGTTTTTAAAGGACTTTTCTTTCTGTCCTCTTAATAAGCTAATTGGGATGGGGAGATTAGACATAGGAATGAGATTTAAGCAGGATAAGGGGAACGATTTATATTGGGTAATTGTATTTCCCAGGACTGTACCTACGAGCACTATTTGGATAGCTAGCACGGTGGAGAAACATGATGGGAATAGGGAATGGTCTCTGTATCATAGTTTCAGTATCCCACATGGAGTAGTAGTGAAGTCACCACTGTCTAAGAATTGGTTAATGAATATGGCTTCTACCATTGCCTTTGGGACAGAAGTAATTCATAAATCTGGCCCTGCCCAGATTTATGAAAGGATTACAAAGGATTACCAAGTCTCTTATTTAGAGTCAGATATTGCTTTGTTGTCGATCTTCTCTGGACTAAAAGTCTGTTCCTAAAAGAAAAATTAGTGGGCTTTTAGATTTGGAGACACAATATTTTTATTCAAATCCCAGGTCTACTCACTTGTAGTTGCATAATCTAGGGAAACCACTTGATCTCTGAGCCTAGACTTTAGAGGCAGACAGACCTGGAGAAGTCCTAGTCCTACAATTTACTAATCAGGGGAAGTCAAGCAAGTTTTGTTTTTGTTTTTTGGTTTTTTTTTTATTGTACTTTAGGTGAAGGTTTACAGAACAGATATTTTCTCATTAAACAGTCAGTACACATATTGTTTTATGACATTGGTTAACAA